ACTATGGTATTTGATTTATCTGCCTTTTTTGATAATAATGTTTTCGTCACGGGATAACTTCCGGAGACTTTGTAAATCCGATTTTGAAATATTTGAGAAACGTTTATTTTTGTTTTCGCAATGAAGAATTTCTTCTGTGACCGCGGTTATATAAAAGTCCAAATGTATATCCCGACCTGATTTTGGAATGAATGATGATTGTTTCTTGTTAAAGAAAGGTAAATCTTTATAAGTGTCATCGCCAGTTTCTTTATCGGCAAAAAAACTCTTTTAGTCTAAGACGCCGAGTGAATTTGAAGACGTCTTCTGCTAATTTAATTTTATCGTGCGATTTTGTTTTAGGGCAAAACGTAAGTCCCTTACCTAGGAGTACGTAATCATCGTCAGTTAATTTGCATGATGATAAGTTCAAGACCGTTTCTCTCTTCCCCGTTTTATTTTTTGGAGTCTTTTCTTTGTCTTCTTCCATGAATTTTTTGTTTTTGTGCGTATAAACCGTCTTTGTCGCTTTTTTATTTCTTGCGATTTGATGAGCTGGGTCACCGCTTGAGTCAGGATTTTGAGGGTCGTGTGTATATTGTCTGTTGTTGCCTCGCTCGCTGCGACTTCCGCATAGGTTTTCTTGCCGCTCGAGGCTTGGACGTTTTTTGAATTACAATCTGTTGTTGTTCCTCGTTGCGAGGCTGGAACGGTAAGATCCACAACATCATTTTTTTGTGTATTTCCAGTTTGTTGTTTTGGAATATTGTTCTGTGGGCGTTGTTCATTGTGATTTTTTTGTGTTTTCTTAGCTCTTTTCTTCTTCTTGGAAGTCTTGATTTGCCAGTCGTCGCTTTGGGTTTTCTCAGTAATCAACGGCTGAGTATTTGAAACATTTTCTTTCAAAAAATTCAATTTCTTTGCATGTCTTTTTTCTATTGTCGTTCTGGATTTCTCGATCGAATCACTTATTTCTTTGTCAAGGTTACCCAATTGTCCATTATCTAAGTCTTTTTCTAGGTCTGCTCGCAGTTTTTTCCATCTCCGATGTCAGTTCATTTGACCTTCTCATATGATCTTCTTTGATCATCTCGCTCAGACTTCAACACTTACTCTATGGAGAAGGGAGTCTACTTTTTCCTGCAGTTTGTTTGACGTGCCGCCGACGGTCAGTTTGAGTTTAAGTGACAGTCCTTTTGGGATTACGTCCTCGCTCGGCAGTTTTCAAGAAACTTTACGTGGAGAAATTCCTTTCATCTGTTTAGTTGCCATCTTCTTCAATTGAAGTTCGCGTGGATCTCTAGTAGATGCCATGTTGTTCTTAAATATTATTAAATATGAATCCAAAAAGAACAACCACACGCGTACATTCAGTTATTTTTTTAATATTCAAATCGATTTCGAACAAATATGTTCTTCTACAGTGAATAAACAGGAAGTGAATAAACAGGAAGAGACGTCACATGACGTCAACGTCCGAGATGGCGGGAAACATACATTGTTACGTTACGTTATATTAAATTTCATTTAAAAATTAATAAAATTAATAAAGATTTCGATATATATATATATATATAAACATTCACGGATTATTAAATACAAGTATTTCCTATATAAAATATATACTGGCATGCAAGCAGTTCCCGTACAGAAGCAGTACCCGTATTTTTCATTTAAACGCTTGATTTTTACTTGCATTCTTCAAAAATTCATTTCAAATCAAGCAGATACATAAACGAGACAAAATCTAAGTGTCAGTTCGGCAGTACGTATAAAAAGTCTCACTTTAAATCACTTTCACCTGTACGTCGTCAAAACGTGACCTTGTTTTCTCTGGGGGAATCTGTCCTTGCGCGCATGCGCAAAAATACTTACACGTGAGGCTTGTTAAAGGGTTTTCCACTAATAGCAACTGTTTACAGATAAGTAGGCAATGTGATGAAAACTTGTTAAATTATCAGAATTTTGACCAATATTACTATATAAAATAATTTTATGGCTTTGATGCGTAAAATATCATGCATACAAGCATGCTATTGCATGTGAATGCGTTGGGGTAACGGTACCGGGTAATAGATACCCGCGTTTAGTCTACGCTCTATTTCCTGAATTACATCTATTTATCTCTTAGATAATGGTCGGTTCAACAATTGTAAATGAAAAATAGGTCCGATATAATAAAATTGTATAGTTATAATGGGTTAGATTTTATGTACGGGAACTACTTCTCTTCATACAAAATAATCGATAATTTCGGTACCCCATATGAGGCCTCATAAGTAAGGGTTATTCTATGTTTAGAACATGATGGAATTTCCATGATTTGTGTGACGAGCCGAATATTGATGTGTAAAATTCAAACTTTGGTGAGTGAGCGTAATAAAAAATAATGTTTAAGTAACTATGATTTTTGTACGGGAACTGCTCGCATGCCAGTATATATATATATTTTTTTTTTTTTTTTTTTTTTTTTTTTTTTTAAACAAATACATGAAATCCTTGTTGAAACGGTTTGGGCGTAGACGGTTTTTTACCAATTCAACATGAGTTATATTTTTCCGTGCCCACAACATGGGAAATACAAATGCTCAGAGCCGTACGAAAAGAAGTCAAATTGTAATTGATTTAACAAAGCTTTACATTGGAGATTCTAAACTTAAGAAAACAATTTAAACTTCTTTATCGAAGACAAAACACGAACTTCAGAAATTCCGGAAACGATTTCAGAAATGACATCAGAATCGTTTTTTTTTTTCAAGAACACAAGTTTATAAAAAAAAATATATAAAGTGTATTTATCAGTAAAATAACAATAAAACATCATGTTCTTACTTTTATTTGGTGTTATTTGTTTTATAAGTTAATCAGATGTTTAAACTGAATTACAGATATTTGTTTACATTGACAATTGTCCGTTTCTTAGAAAAGGCGACAACCAAGATAAGCTTGACGTCTATACGACGTACTTGCGGCAGAGATACTTGGTTGCTGCGACAAAAGCCCTCGAATCTTCAATGTTATATGAAAAGAGCAATTGACTCTTTTGGAAAATTGGCCAAATCGGGGTCTATTCTTATTTTGCTTACCGGGCCTTGATTAATGAATTTCGCATAGGCAAAACCGGGCTATAAAAAGAGCGCGTAACTCTGTTAAAACATGATTTAGGTCTTGTTAAAATATGGGCAAAAATGGAAAAATAGTCGATTTGATGCCAGAATTTAAAATATTTGTCATAGCACTTAATTGTAGGCTTGTGAAACAATATATGCTTTAATGAATAAATATCAAATTAGAGTCGTGTCGGTTAAGCATCGCGAAACGATAATTATGTAATATTTATCTGTAGGAATAATGTAATTGGTCAAACCTATACATAAATGAGAAATAAGATACATAGATACAATTCACTTATCTTAACAGGTGTCAATGTGTGTAATGCAAAATTGATTAAACGGGAAAATTATATGTACGTCATGCAAAATTCTTGCGGCTAATTATTCGGCTTGCGCCTGTCGCATATAACCTAAACTATTGCAACGACCAATTCGTTATAAAGTGTTACCAATGGGTAGGTAATAGTGAACTCCGGAAATAATACCTTTTATATGGTAGATTTAATATTCAGGAAGATAAAATCGCTGCACCTATGAGCCTGGTAAAGGATTGCGTCTTATATTTCAGTAAAGTGGGAGTTATGGTTCATAAGATTGATTTTTGAAATGGTTATTGACCAATTATTAATAATGAAAACTTATAAGGATGAAAAATCTAAACTGCCTAAAATATAAAAGATATGTAGGTTCCACCTTTTTAATCAATTTAACGTAACTAACATATTATGAAGAATATATTTTTAGACAAGCTTGTTTGTAACGCGTGTGTTTGATCTTTTTTGTGAAGCAGAATATCAAAATATTAAAACAATCACGGCAAAATGTAAAGGTATTTCTATTTTACCTGTACAAACGCTGGACAAAGTGTCACGTTCGCGAAACCTGATGAGAAAATATACAAAACGAACAAATCGCCACATCGGCTAACGCACATACCACTGATGGACAGGTTTTTGAACTAGTGGCAAGTGCAAGAGTGTAACGTGATTTAAAAACCCTCCAAGTTATTTCACTGGTGAATCTGCAATAGGAATGTCAGTATTATCTCCGCAAAATGATGTCTATACGGACTTTGAATAAAGGGAATGAATCACTGAACCTGATTTGGTAATGACATGCGGCAATTATTTTTCCGTTTAGGGTCATATGTCTTTCTGCTGTGAAAGGGGAGCAATGCAACGCGATCGGTCTATTAAGTCGGTTACGATGGGTTATGTAAAAAGGTGCATTGCACGAGGAACAAAAAAAACAATAAATAAATAAATAAAACGTAGCAATTATATTCAGATGAATACCTATTCTCATTCTAATGATCCATTACAAGTTAAATGCAACTTATGCTTGTAATGTTAGATATTGGCATAATTAAACTTCATATCCAAAATATTATTTACAAATAAAAACACAACGTACATGTAGTATACTATATGATCGCATTTAAATTATTTGACGTTAGGCTTCTTTAATTAGAATACTTAAAAAACTGATACAGACGATTAAGTATTTTCAAAAATATTCAATAATTACAAAATAATAATACTTTCTAGTTGTCACTTAGTAGGAGGAAACCAGGCGCCCGAATGTAAAGGTGTTCTATTCTGCATGTCACACTACTCTACTAAATCTCTTTTAATAATTATTTTTGTTTTATTATCCAGATCATAAAAATGAATACATTGCATACATTATACTACTTTACAAACATATTACAGATTGTTTTAATTGCAAGAAGAAACATGGTTACATCAGAAAAAATAGAGAATAAGTAGATAACGCCTGATTTAACATTATGCATATAAAGATTGTTAAAATGGAAAGGTAATCTAGAGCATGATATATGTTTTTTTAATTATTTATAAATATGTGTTTATTTATCAAGTAGATGTAACAAAATGACATTTTTTTCAGAATTAGATGCAAGAGCGCTTGGACTTGAAGTTACATCATTTGTTGTAATGTTCTTGGCTGTATTTGGAACTTGCTTTGACGCAATTATCAAAGATGAATTTGACGATGTGGGGTGTTGTGGTGCCGTTGGATGGTGCTGTGTGGTCATGCTACCGGTGGCAGGTAATCTACAGTATTGATTTATTATTGACAAAACTCAACCCAAAAATGAGTCCCGCCTCATACATATGATTTTTATATTGACAGTTTATGCAATTATTAATATCCTTTTTTGCACGAAATATTCAAGTTAAAATAAGTAAACCTCAAATGAAAACAGCGACCGGAAAAAAGTAGCTGTTTGTCAGCGTAAGTCAAATAGGCTTGCAAGGTTGACAAATTGATTTCAAATTTATCTATTTTAGCATTGTTCAGTTTCATCGGATGCATGATCATTGCCGCAAGTTATTCCACATCTGAGCTTGGTTGGTCCTTTATTCTTTGCCTTACCCCCGGCTGCCTGATCCTGTTTATCATTGTGACCGCTGGTCTCTGTTATTGTGTAAACAAGACTGTCAAGAAATGCAACGAAGGTATGTGTATCGAATAAACTTGTCATATGTATATGGTATCCTGTTTAGGGCAGTTTACATGTTCTCTGTTGACATGCAAGATTTCGACAAAATCTACCTGATCGCTCATTTTATTAAGTAATAGAGTTATAACTTGATATCGTGAATGTGCATATATATAAATGGCGTCGTGTCAGTTGTTTAACGTAATATCAGATTTCATCAGCTTTGTTTTCAAAAATAATACTGAGTATCCGATCAAAGGCAAATATCAAAAAGTAAGTAGTATATAAGTAGGGAGTTATCAACACGTTTCTAAACGCGTTAATCATATAAATAGCGATGATTATGTAATAAACTAGTTACGTAACGTGTTAAGTACATAATTAACACAAAGTATATGATTATATGGTGGCCAAATTGATTGTATAACAGTTGCAAAATGTAAGCTAAAATAAAAATAAATTCACTAATAGGTCTGTGACAATAACACCAAAGTTTGTGATGTTAAGTTTTACATTTACTTATTAAGTTCATAAAGTGTAAAGCGTTGATTAAATCTTCAACATATATTGAACATGAACAGGTCACATTCAGTCTGTAAAACAGTTTGACAGCGGATTGACAATTGCTTACTTCATCAAAGTTTTTGTGAATAAATAACGTGCCATTACGCTTTTTAAAATGTCCTAATTTCCTTACAGTTATGAAAAATGTATCAATATTGAAATAAAGCCCTATGATTTACATACAATGAATTATCTTGTTTCATTGATAGAATGAATTTACCGAAATCTAACCCTTGAAATGTTTTCTAATACAAAAAACATTTTGACTTTTAGATATACTAGTACTTCAAATAATTATAATCATAATATCTTTAATCGTTAAAATACTAGTATCCTTCATAAACATGGTTCTTTTCTGCCTCCTTCTATGAAACCTTATCAAATATGCAACGTTTTCATTTAAAATAAAATTCTCAAAATATTTATTTCAGAACATGTTATACATGTTGTCTCTCAACCACGGGTCTCTCAGATTGGTGGTGAACGGCTGGCCAGTCAACCTAGTCGACGGGTCAAAAAACGTAAAAGGCCGACAAACGTTAGTGCCTTGGCCAATGCACAGTTTGAACAGAGATCCCATCCAAGGGTATCTCCGATTGGTGATGGTAAACAGCTGGCCAGTCAACCTAATCGACCGGTCAAAAAACGGAGAATGCCTACCAAAGTTAGTACCTTGGCCAAGGCACAGTTTGAACAGAGATCAGATATCCATGATTCACAACAAAAGGGGTTTTCCAGTGATGACACGTGGAACGATTATAATGTAGATACCTCTTCAAACAACATGGTTTCGCATGAAGATGGTAGACGTTTTACACCCCATGGCGAAGTTGACAACAGGGTACAGCAGAGACCATTCGGTGGTATGGTTCCGACTGTAACTGATGGGCATGTTTCTCCATATGGTGAAGTTGGTGGCAGAGCCGGGGCACAAGGGACTTTAAATGACTCAAAACCACAAGCATCTTCCGGTGCATTGGTTCCGTATAAGAAAGGTGGACGTGTTGCTACACATGACCAGGTTAGAGGCATGCGCGGGGTACAGCAAAGAGCATTTTATGACACAGAACAAAACATAGCATCCGATGAAATTGTTTCGTATCAGGATATTGGAGATGACGCTACTTATGGCGAAGTTGGAAACATGAACAGGGCACAGCGTAGAGCACTGGTGCATGGCTCTCAACGACACGCCTCTTCCAGTGGGGTTGTTTCTAATGAGAACAATAGAATTGTGCCTTCCGGTGGAGGTGTCGTGCATATGGAAGCACAGATGGAACAGGAAGAAGTATATGCTCATGAATCAGAAAGTGGGCATATTTTCTTTGTGATGAAAAAGTATACGATCGAGCGTTTCATTCATATATTTAAAGATAAATAACTTTAAGATATTCAACAGACCATCTATCAAATGTGATAAAGAATTATTATTTTTTATGTATTTTCAAATGATATTTGTTTTATAAAAACACATAATTATGGTGCACAGCTGATATATTCTTTCCAGTTTGTCATTGTGCTATTCTTGCACAGAAATCACGTGGAATTAGTAGTCGGTCTCATAGAGTATATAGTAAGTTATTCAGGATTGTCGAGTACGTGGATCGACCGTCTAGATATGACCAAACAGAGTAATGATAAACAGAATAATTATAAACAAACGAAAAACAAATTATCAAACAATTACAAAAAGGGAAAATATATAGAGATAAATAGATTGATAAAATGGAAAAGATATATCACTAAAGATTACATAAAAGTACATTTTGTATTTGAAATGTCATCAATGCAACAAAAGAAGCAAGTGAATTGCCTGAAAAATCCACTTCAAAAAACAATTTCTTGCTCAAAATAAATAGGTGGGTGTGTGTTCTTAATTATTTCGCACATCGCTACCACGTTCATTTCTAAAATTCGTCAACTAGTAAATTCTCTTCCTTCTACCATGGAATGAAACGTGCTTCAAAGGGTATAGGTGTTATAGTGGTAAAGGCGACTGGCTTATTATATTTACCTGGTTTCGCTTGGATGGCTATTAAGGTAGTAGAAATATTTTCCATAAAGCAAAGAATAGCCAACTGTTTATGATAATTATAAACTGAAAACCATCGAGAACGAGTCATATTTGTGCTAGTGGCTCAAGTCAAATATGATAAACAAGATCAACAAGGAAAGGCGGCGTTCAATGAACGCAACCCCCACATGACCCAGCAACAAGAACCAATGGCAAGGAGCCCAGGCGGACACCAAACACAAAAAGGACAGGGCAAAGACAGGTCAATCATCAAATGACAAACAATTTGTAACTGATTAGGAACCCAAAGAAAATAATAACAGTAGACCCACAAAGGGGAAGGGGACATGAGAACGGGGGAGGGGGGGGGGTTAATCAAAGAAATAAAAACTAAAGGCAATGGGGAAGATACTTACCGTAGACGAGAAAACAACAAGGGACACAAGCAAAAGTGTAAGCAAAACAGTATGAAACAACAAAGTCGTGCTAATATCTTGAAATTAAAATATTGTTATTTACATTTCAAGGAAAGCAACTGCACTGAATTTTGTGGTGAATAAATCATTTTTAAAATGTTGTTGATTTGTGATTACATATTTCCTTTGTTTTGACATATTTAATTTAAAAGATGAAGGAAGAACTTAAGATGTTTAGACTTTTTCTGTTACTTTTAACAAACGTGTATCCGGTGGACTTGTTATCAATTTCTTCACTGAAGCTGAGGCGAGTGGCCGTGCAAAGCAGGTTTGCACGACGATAAAAATGGAAATGGGGCACGCGAGCATATCTTAGGGCTTGAACGGTTTCTTCCTTTGACTTTGAAAATGCCATGAAGAATCAGCACTGTTAATTTGCAGGAAAACATTTTTTGCGAAAGAAAAAAAAGATTAATAACAGTAGCATACATAAGATAAGTAAATAAATAAAAAAAATAAAAGTATAACGTGAAAAACAAAACCGAGATCAAAATTTCTATTATATAACTGTAGGTTTTGAAGGATATTTAAAGAGCACGATATCGACATATGTAAATCTGTCACATAAGTAGACATAAAAAGTGGTATCGCAGACTGAATGAACAGACGTTACAACAATTGTATCTTTTTACAAAAAAAATTTAACAATTACACATATTTGATCCTCTTCCATTGAAAAGTTGATATGCCTGCATTCTATTTAATTGGCCCGAGTCATATGTTAAAAGAGGAAGTTTTAAAGACTGACAAATAATTGTCAACTAACTTTTGTTGTATTGTTGCGTGTTTGTGCTATCATTAAGTTACATTTCAAAGACAGTCTTAAACAATAAAAGACCTATTGTTAGAACAATAGTTGTTTGATGTTATTGTAAAATTATAAAAGGAAACATGACATGTTAAAGATCATGCTATGGACCAGTTTTCGTGTTATGAAGATATTACTAATATGAAGTGGGTTAAGTTAAGGTGACACGCTATTAATGCGATCTTTACTAAATTCTAATTTCTATAGTCACGTCAACTGAAATAGAGTTTCTCACATTTAGATCTGTCATTTCAACAAGACAAATCATATCGACGTTAAAATCAGCTTTGCAAATACGAAACTAAACTTCATTGCGTGAATGGTTCAACGTTTCACAAAGTAGTAAAAAGGCAATAGACATATAATTGTTTTCATGATATAAGCAGAACTGATATATCACATAATAATAAACTAATAAATCAACTAATTAACTAACAACCGGGCTAACAAAATTAAGGAAAATCATTTCTATAAGATACTGACATTTTATTCAGGTAAACACTTTTAAAGTGACTTACAGACAACTCTTATTGGCTTACAGCTGTCAGAAATTAGAATAAGCAGCAATGCTGCATTAAATCCTTCATTATGTTCCTTATGTAATCGCAAAAAAAATAACTGACAGGAACTGACATTTTTATGTTTCTAATTAAATAAATATAAAAGCCTAAATATACTATTTATAAAGTTTTACACGAATTGAAAAAAGAGTTACTGTGATAATGCATACTAGAGTCAACATAATCAATACAACTTCCAAACTTACTGTCTGATAACTTACTGTGTTTATTATTCATAAAGAAAATGTGTACTCGTAGATGATGAGAGAAAGTAATATATTTCCTGTATATATATATAGAGAGAGCATCGAAGACGATTAAAAATATGAAAAAAAAAAAACCATATGAGCCGCATCACGGCAAAACCAACAAAATTGGTTTGCGACCAGCATGGATCCAGGCCAGCCTGCGCTTCCGCACAGTCTGATCAGGATCCACGCTGTTCGCTATCAGTTTCTTTACTTCTACTAGGGTTTGTAGGCGAACAGTATGGATCCTGATCAGACTGCGCGGATGCGCAGGCTGGTCTGGATCCATGCTGGTCGCAAACCCATTATGTTGGTTTTGTCGTGACGCGGCTCATATATTGTGTTCAAAAAGTTTTAGTTTCGGTGGTGTCATTTGAAATTTAAACAATTAATTAAATAATGAGAACTTGCGAACATTGACGGGACATGAAAATTATTTCTACTTTCGTTTTTAATATTTTACATTGCTGTCACATAAAGTCTCTTAACCTCTTGAAAATAAGATAAGTGTACAAGCAACAAATAATGAAATGCCTCTGGCCTTGGATATTTTAGAAAAAATATATGTATTTGAAAATTAAGTCACGGCAACTAAAAAGTGACTTGAAACGAAAAGGCTACGAATCTGTAAGTTCGTTATAATTTTACTCATAAGATTTGTCTACTTATTTCTTATATATTTATATTTTCATTATCATTATTATAATGTTTTATCCATTTATTTGACACAGTTTATAAAAAGTATTTTTAATAACAAAATTTCATAAATATATATTAAACATCATTAAGAAAGTTATTACACGTATAGAGAGAGGGTCAATACGATATTTGATTTTAATTCAATGTGTAACAATCACATACATACCTGGTTCAGTTAATCTATGCTTCCTTCAAATTAAAACTGTTCAACTTAAATTCATAGTCTTAACGTTATTTAGCAGAAGAAGAAAAAAATGAACACAAATTCTCATTTAAATTAATATGACAAATTTGTCTAGTAATTTTGTATATAAACACACAAACTGAGAATATAAGAAGGGTGATCCAAAATATCTGATACTGTTTTGAAGTTGAATAAATAAGTCATTCCTGATGCAATTATCAAGTGCTATATACCATTGTATAGAGAATTGTCATACGTTTCTGTCATAATTACTTTACGGGAAAACGTTGACGTCATGACGTCATAGATGACGTCATCAAATAATAGTTGTTTTTCAATATGGCGACGTCAAAACAGAAAGCTGCAGAAATAGTTATACTTTATTTTGAGACTAAGTCTCCAGTTACTGTTATTCGCATGATGCAGAAAAAATGTCCTGATGATGACAGACTCACAAAGCTTCAGGTGCATAGGCTTGTAAATAGATTTAAGCAGACTTGGTCAGTTGAGGATAGCCGACATAACAACAGTGGACGACCAAGATCAAGCCGCAGTTTAGAGAACGTGGCAGAAATCCAGTAAGTGATTCAGGAGACACCACAAAAATCTGTAAGAAAAGTTCTTGGAGACATTACCAATAAGTCTAGTTATGGAAGTGTACATAGGGCATTGCGTTTTGATTTGAATTTGTTTCCCTATTCGTTATCCATTATGCAACATTTGAAAGAAACAGACATTAACAGCAGATTAGAGTTTGTCGTTGGATGATTGATAATGTAACCACAAGTGATAAAATATGGTTTTCAGACGAATCACATTTTATTTAAATGCAGCTGTAAACAAGCAGAACTGTCAAGTTTGGAGTAAAGAGAAACCAAGATTCTACTTAGAAAAGCCACTTCATGATGACAAGGTGACAGTATGGCCAGCGTTGAGTTCGACTGGTGTGATTGGACCATTCTTCTTTTAATCGAAATGTGAAACCAAAACAATAGTGAGCGATATCTTTCTCTCTTGAAGACAAAATTTCTTCCAGCCTTACGAAGAAAAGGTATTTACATTAATACAATATGGTTTCAGCAAGATGGAGCGGCACCACACACTGCGGGACACGTGTTGGAATGGTTGAAAGAAACATTTGGCAGAAAATTTATCTCATTTAAATCAGACAAAGTATGGCCTCCACACTCACCTGATCTAAGTCCGTTAGATTTCTTTCTATGGGGACACTTAAGAGACAATGGCCCAGTTGTTCAAAACTTTTGTTAAATAAATAACAAGTTTTAAAGTAATATAATAAGTATTAAGATCATCTTTTAAATTCAGCATAAACAAACATAAATTTATTCCTGCCTGTGATTTAATTGACTTTCTTGAACTTCACTAAACAAATGTAATTACCTCATTCTACCTTATTTTGGATCATTAGAGTAACAAGCTGACAAAATATTGTACTGCTAGTGTAAAACCATATATAGGATTGATTACACTGGTTCAATACTGCTTTGTTCAAAAACCCTTCTACTTGGTTGGTTAACTATTGCCAGTTGTTTGTTTGTTTAATCAGTTTAAATCTTCACTTTAAATATCTTATTAAAATCATTCAATAACAAGAATAAAGATCAACAAGGCAAAGGCAACGTTCACAGGACCATTGTCTCATATGTTTATTTGTATGTTTTTTGTCTGATGTCAGTTTATAATCCAAAGCCAGACACCCTTGAGCAGATAAAGTCAGCCATTCGCAGAAAAATAAGAAAAATTATATCTGCAATGTGTGTTAACGCTATTGAAAATTTTAAAAAGAGACTTGACGTCGTAGTAGCACAAAATGGACGTCATATTGAACATTTGATGTAAAGTTTGTTTGGTAAAATTCATTTTTATTTTTTTATTAAACATAATGACTTTAATGTTAAATAAAACTTTAAAATCTCATGTTTAAATATGTGTGTTGATATTTAAAATCGTGTGATGTATGTAAAACATACAAGACACTGAAATGGTATCAGATATTTTGGATCACCTTAATTACCGTTTTGTTTAAAAATTTAGTAGAACATACCTCCTTGTATAGCTGTGTATTCTTTGTTTAGCGGATTCATATTCATTCCATCAAGGAGATTGTAAAGAAAAAAAAACATTTGATTTTTTTTCCATACGCAAACATCTGAAGTGAATCTTCACACTGTTTCCATCATAATGAAAAAACAATGTGGGTGTGGTTAATAACAATATCGAATCATATACATGTATTTGTGTAAGTTAATTATATTCATTATATAAAAATATCCATGCTATAATTAGGTTACAATGACTCATGTGGAATTTGACAATGCACGAGCAAGAAAAGAAAATAAACAAACATCCTTTAAGAGTTTGATTCTTAAGT